ATAGGGAGGAAAGTATTCTTAAAGACAATTTTCTTGGTGGTCTTTGAGACTTGCTTTTTGTCCAAGAAGCCTGACTTGAGGGAGTAAAAGCATCTTCCTGCCGTCTTAATTCTCTCTTTAATTTCTCCATCCATCCATCCATCCGAACTCGTTAAGGTGAGCGCCCAGGTATTTAAAATCCTTAACTTCTTCCAGGCGGATTCCACCCAGCCGAACGATCCGGTCTCCTCGGTCCCTTCTTCTCCCGATCCTCATGAATTTTGTTTTCGAGATGTTAATTTCCATGTTTATATTTCCCATCTCAGCTTGAAGGATCTTGAGGTTAAACTGCAGGTTACGGCAGTCATTTCCGAACACCACCATATCGTCAGCAAAAGCAAGCACTGTATACTGGACGCTCTGTAGGTCCCTATATCCGAGGTTGTATGGCCTCATTTTCTGTTTTGCTTGTTTTAAGGCAGAGTCCAGCACTAGTATAAACAACAGGGGGCTAAGGCTGCATCCCTGTTTGATTCCTTGATCTGTTATGAATTCTTTTGATCTTGCACATCCTAACTACATTTCTCTGTGTTTCATATATACTTAGAATGGCTTTTCTCAATCTTATATGAACGCCACCGCCACACTCCTTCAATGCTCTTGATATATCTGCCTTCTGCACCCTGTCAAACGCTTTATTTAGGTCTGCAAAACAGACGAAGACCTTTCTGCTCTTTTCTATAATCTTCTCGGATATTTGTCTCATCGTGAATATCAGGTCCTGTGTACTTCTGTTAGGCCGGAAGCCATATTGTTCTTCAAAGATATAAAATAATAATTAGTAAATAAATACAATTAGGAAGATAAATACAATTACAATTTAATGTCCAAATTTATTTTATGTGAAACAATTGCAGCGACAAAAAGAAAAAACTAATTGAAACAAAATAAATTGTTTATATATGTTGGTTAAGAACTAAGAATGAGAACTCGCAATGCTATTGTAAATTATAAACAAACACGGAGATTAAGATAGGAGAATATATACATATATACAAATTGAGGAATGTCAAAAATGAAATACATTTAAAATATACTTGTAGATAGAAAAAATAATGGATACAAAAAATGGATAGATAAGAGTTTAAGAACTAATAGTAGTACAATCCATAATCATTAACGTGTTAAATATGCTTTTAAATCTCGCTAGGCATATACAGCTCCCGAGAATGGAGTTACGTGATTTACAAAAACAGACAAAGTTACGAGGTTTTTATTGCCTACCATCGATCAATATAAATCCATAAGTCAAATCTATTCTGTTTTATTTTAATTATATTAAAAGAAGTGATTATATGAACTTACTCGTTTGTGCTGTTGCCAACTCCATTAAACTCCATTAAGCTTTTTGTCAAACCTATTTTTGCCAATAAAAGTTATCATATTATATAATATGTAATATTTGCAACATTTTAATATCCGGTAGGTATTATGTCCATTGAAATAGTCTGATAGACCTTAACTGCCGATTTATCAAAATTTCTTTCTCTGAAGTATCTTTAATTTTGTTTATTTAAAAAAAATAACCATTCCATATTTTAAGTACATGTAGACGAATAATGGTCACCTATATTTAAATATTTAAGCAAAATACTTCCTAAACGAATACAAACTATTTTTCGTTAAACGAATAGATAAATTAGTTTATTTCCGAAGAGAATAAAGATAAACTGTGTAAATCACTAGCTTAAAAAAAGACATGGCAGTATGTTCAGTGAAGTGCCGTTTGACAACGGTTAATCCGGGAGAGGTCAGGCACTAATCGGGCCAGTGGAAGAGATTAAGAGGGAAAGCTTTATCCTCTGGATTATGTGGAGCCTCCGGGATTTGGGAGGATAAGAATCCCGGGCTGGGGACAGCCATCCATCTTGTGGTGAGAACCGTTCTTAATCCATCTTACACCTTAAACTCACATTAACCGTTGCCTTCTCAAACTCAACTGGTAGCTAGGTGTTCACCTTAGCTAGAGTTGTAGGAGATAATACCTGGGACAAGTGTTAAATATTATTTGTGGACCGAGGAAGGAAGTGGGAAGCGGTTAACGATACTTATATATCTTTCACTGGCTAACTTTAAGTTAAGATTGTATTTCTTTACCATTACAAGATCTTATCAAATCTTTTGGAAATTAAGCTATATTTTTCATATGTATTAATTATTGTATTAATAACTTGATATACGAAAAAAATGTCAACTCAATGTACAAACGCTAGTTGTTACTATATCAATATGATAAGTGTTTCGTATATCATAATCTGCGTTTAACCTTTTTGCGAAATTTTTCACATAACTATCCAAAAAGCAATAAAAGGCAAATGAAATTATATGAATTTATTCTCTGATGCATCCCGAACCAAGGTCAATTGCTGCCATATTATGCTGGGATAAGCCTTTTTCTAGAATCTTGCTACAAAATTTTTTTCTATAATTTTGCGTTTTCACTTTAAGGCTTAATTGTTCCCATAATTGTTGAGTGGAATTCAATTCAATTGATAATAGGCAATTTCAACTCTGTTCTCCACATTTTCTCCATATTTAAGTCAAATTGATCGAGCCGTATTCAAACTATAGGAATATCAAAAAACAATGCCACTGTAGATTCTAAATCGGAAGTACTTTTCGAAAACAGTTAGTTGAATTTGATGAAATTCATATCTACCATTTCATTATTCATATGAGACCATTTTTTGTATCCATCCGTAACATAACTCTAACCAAACTCAAATGAAAATTTATTCGGATGAAAAAACTACCAAATTCGTTCCCTCATTTCGCTTGGCTTAGTTGGGTAAAAACCTATTGCTCATATTATTCGGTGAAATACCCTGAATGTTTGAAACAATTAGAGCTAATATATATATATATATATATATATATATATATATATATATATATATATATATATATATATATATATATATATATATATATATATATATATATATATATATATATATAGTTATGTATTGTACGGACCACATGTGGAATATATTTAATTATTTCAAATGAAGAAATATATTCTAAATAATAATTGCTAACACATGTCCGGTTATCTGAGGAAGAATGGCGACCCACTAGGGTCTGAGGGGCAATAAAACACCAAAAAACCGACACCGGTCTTAAGTGGGCTAAGACGTGGACGTGGACGTGGACTAATGTTTGGAGAGGATCGGAAGGCTTGTCTAAGCAAGGGAGGGAACAGAAACACCTTCGAGAAAGAGGAAACAGCCGTACGGCCTGGAGGCGTGGTCATCCCTTATGCTACTATAATTCAACCAAGGGGAACCATTCTTGCCCCACCCTGAATATTTCTATAAAATCCACTGAGAAGGAAGAAATAAGGCTTATGTAGCTGCCCGGCCTGGAGGAGAGGTCTGATGTGGAGATCCGCCCTTGAGAATGGGTCTTCTGTTTTCTTCCGGCTTGGGGACTGAGGCCTAGGCCCTACATAGACCATGATGATCCTGGCAGAGCTTTGAACCATGACGAGATGACCTCAGAGCACCAGATACAGTGATGGAATCTGCTAACTACTCCACGTCATATGCAATAGATAAGTTTTATTCCCAACCATAATGTTAGAATATTTCATGGCAATATAAATTAAGAAACAATTCATATGAAATCATGCCTTCACAGTAAATTGTTGAATTCATTGATTCTTGTAACTATAATTTGTAATTCTTGTAAATATAATTTGTATATATTCTTTATTAAAAGTTGAAATAAATTAGGTTTGTTAATAAAAGTTAGTTTAATAGTGCCATCTATTTATATCATTATAATCACAATAATGTTTGGTAATCAGAAAGTATGATAAACACAAACCAGCCTTTGAGAAAAGAAATCCAATTCATTAATTCTGGACCAAATTTATTTTACTAATTTTTTATAATATATATATATATATATATATATATATATATATATATATATATATATATATATATATATATATATATATAAGTGTTTATGAATTCTTTCTGAAAATTATGAATTTTCACAATTTTTGTGATATATGAGCGAAACAAGGAAAATACGTTTGCACATATTTAAGATAAGGTAGTTGATAGAATTCAATAAAATTAAACAGCTTCATTTGTTTATCATATCCACCTTTCTTTTAATGTGGAACCAAATTGAACAAGCCGTTTCTGAAATATCGGTATATATATATAGGAAAAAAACATTTCCGCATGTGTGAACGGTTTTATTTGATGAAAATTAACAAAATTGATAAGGGGTGACCAAGACACCAACCCACACAATCCTTGAAAATGTCATGAAAATTGGATAAATGGTAACAGGTGATATGCCCGCCACTACAAGCAGACGGACAGACACCGAACCAAGTTTGATCCTTGACGTCTAAAACTTAAAACGCAAGTGGAAAGATTTCTTACCTCCGGTAGTGATCAAGCAAAAATTATTCTTCAGTGTATAACTGCCACTATAAGGCGAAATGAATGAACTTTGCAAATATTTTATGAAAACATGTGTATATTTAAGTAGTTATTTTGATAAGTTTGGTATCTTTTTGTTTAGTTTAGTTTCTTTTAGTTTTTATACATTTACTTTTAGTATTATTACTTTTCTGTTTATTTGTATTTATTGTACATAGTTTGAATAAGCTACTATTTTATCACTGTTACAAATGTCCTTAGGTGTGACAGATTGTAGTATATCTCAATAAAGAATTTTTGAACTGAAAAAAATATATATATGCAGCAGGGTAATGATCCAAGAAACATTCATCTAAACTTGTTAAAGGGTATTTATAACAAACAAAAAAAAGACGAAGGCATTTTGAAAAACATGACTTGGTCCAGCACAATCTCCTAATACCAATTTGATAGACCTATTTTGAAAAGAACTTACAATAATTGTAAGTTCTTTGGTAGCTTCTATAAAGGTCTTACATTACTGTATTATACTATTTCAGAAGTAAGACAAACTCTAACATTGCATTATTATTTTAATTTTATTTTTAACATTTTTTGTATTGGAGCTTTTTAGTTTTCTTATATTTATTCCAATATTTTTCAAATTATTGAAGTAGCGTTAGTATTGTATTAGGATATTATTCACATAGCTATTTACTTTAATTTATTTTCTTTTATTCATCTATTTAACATCTAACCATCCAATGAGTTGTAAACTATTGAATACTTTTGAATAAACAGCATTTAGAATTTCCGAATTTACTTACATTATTAGCAGCTACTTTTTAGCTAATTGTGGCTATACATCACCCTTGTTATTACAATGAACAACAAATATCATGGTTTTGCTTGCGGGATTACAACCTCATCCTCATTTATGAAACCCTCTTGTTTGAGTGCATTGTAAAAGAAAAAGGATGGGAAAGTATCATATACTTTTGGTCTCTTGGTTTCTTCGTGTGCTTCTAGCTCTTTTGATTTGTAATGCGGTTCAGTCCTAAACCGCCCGAACAACTTTTCCCTCAAATCACCATTTTTGTCCAAAACGTAGGGTTTTTTCATTTCATCCGCCAGAGGATCAAGTCCGCCTTTGAGATAATCGTCTATGGCGGGTATACCGAGCCTCTTCATACTGCTCTTGCTCAACTTCATATGATGACATCTCAATGGCAATGGGACCTCGTGGACCATGCTATGTTCTCTGTTACTAAAATAATGATATTTTTTAAAATAAAATATAAACAGAAAATAGACTAACTAATAATTTATGATTATATTTGTACAGACTCGAGTCGATCTGATAAAAATAAACATGTTTTCTAACATCTAATTATAATTCTGTTTGTGCACCACGTTTGTGCACCGTCAATCATAGTTTGCAAATAAATAAAACAATGCTCCGATACCAAATAAACGTTTCATCTCCACGAATGCATCCTTTTTATAAATGTTAGTAAACATATAACTATGCACTTTTTTAAATTGCTATATACAAGTGAATGAAGTCAATTCCAAACAGCATACCATTATTATATCTTGTGAAGTTACTTAGCAGGAAAGAAATATAAATATTAAAAATACTGAAAAATCTCTACCATTACAAGCCATAAATTGTTTTTGATTAAATAATTGATAAGATAATTCTCTTGATAGTTTATGATAATACCTCTTAATTTGATTTGTGAGATCTTTTTTGTACTTTGACCATTGCCTGCCATAGAGGAAATATTTAAAAAGTTGTTCTGTAGTGGGATACAATCCATTGAGATAATTTTGTTGATTCTCCCATATTGAGGAATCACCATACTGAAAGAGTTCTTTACTAGAAAATTGAACAAATTTTGTAGGCATTTTTGTCCAAATTATATGTTTTGACATTCTCTCGCCTAAAAAAAAAAAAATATATATATATATATATATCAATATAAGAATAATAAATTTACATATGTAATATATATTTATATATACACAAATTAGTGGTACTATTGATAGAGGGAAATATTTAAAGGTGTAATAGCTGACATCAAGATCTAGAAAAAAGTTTAAATAATATAATCAATGGTCCGATTTTTCGTAGAGAAGTAGGAAACTTAAGTGTTGTGTCCTTTTAAGCTAGTTGAATGTTGAATAGAAAGCTATTGCTATATAATACTTAATTTAACTAATTAACAATTGCTCAACAGTAAACTAAACAAAATTTATTTTCAATTATTTATTGATCCAAATTCTACAATACAACAATGTCATAGAGTGATTGATACAATGTCTGTGGCATTAGAATAGAAAGAATTTTGCACAGCAGCTTTCTTAGACGTCGCTCAGGCCGTAAACAATAAATTGCTCCATAAAGATTTTAAAATACCATATGTGACTGTCGTAATTGAAAAAAATTACAAAAGTGTTTACAACTCACTAATTGGATATCATAATTTTCTTGTACAGACATTAATAACAGACACAAAAACACTGAGTCCAACAAGGAGACTTAAAAGTCTCTGGGGAAGGGCTCCACTGCATTAAAACTTTCTGGAAGGTTTCTTCAATCAAGCACTCATGTTAATCCGGCAGAAAAAAGTTCACTGTACAGATGGACAGGTAAAAGGAGGATTGTGATAGTGATTGGTGATAACGTATTGGTTCTCCAAAGTATTGTGTTTAGACTTGTGACTGGTGTATATATACTTATTTTGTTATTGTTCGTGTTTTAGTGTTTTCCATTTTATTGTTCATTATGTTTTCTTGTTCTTTTGTTTTTTAGTTTTCTTTTGTAAATAAGTTTTTAGTTTTAAGTAAGGTTAAGTAGAACTACGGGTTCGTCATCTTCTCGTAGTTGAAGACTTTCTGGACGTTAATCGTTCCTACGAGAGCTAAAACTTATATCATAGAACTTGTATACAAGTTTCATTGGACAATAATAGAAAGTATGGTTGACCCAATTGTAATTGATATGGAAGAGGAGAGTTCCCAAAAGGTTTCCAAGCGAAATGCCAAACGGGCAAGAGAAAGGGTTCTCTTGATTTGGAGGCAAATTCGGAGGAGGCTGCAGCTAAAAGTTTACTACAATTGGCCTTAAAAATCCAGAAGAATCTCAGGGTATATGTTCAACGGGCAGATAATGGGTTGAATATCAAGGTAGAAAATTATATAAATAGAAAAATTCTAACCTTGATAGATATAATTGAAACACTAGATGACAAAAGTAAAAAGGCACACACAAATGAAGACGTTTTTGAGCTCATCCAAAAAGCGGTTCATGAGTCACTTACGACTCCCAGTATTCATGAGATGATTACTCGGCTTGTGATAGAAAAAACGGTGCTCAAAATTATTGAGGGACTTACGGCAGCTCGAGTGGAACCACAACCACAAATCTTAGCCAAAGCCGGTCCTTCAAGAGAAGCGCAAGCAGATATCAGAGAAGCAAGCCCGGCTGGACCCTCAGCGGCTACTGAACCCTACAAAGCCGTAGTCAGTAAAAGAAGCCGCAGGAGGACCAAAGCAGCTAACAAGGTAGCCAGTAATTTAAATAACCCGATTGAGCCGACCAGTCATGCCTCTCCTGAAGATTCAGCCCAAATACGAAGTAAGCCAAGGACAATGGCAGATATCGTAAAATCTCTGCCATTGAAGCCGGCAGAGATATCTAACTCTAAACCTAACTACGTCACAATTAGTGGGCCCGGTAAAAGTCCTGTGGAAATCATCAGTGGGCTGCCATCTCCTACTGAAATAGGAGTTAATGCCTCCATAGTACGTGCTACTAAGGGAGGCTCGGTCTTAGTGCGGATGGAAGATAGCTCCCAAGCGGCGAAAGTTATTGGGTGGCAGGGTCTACGAGAAGTAGGACTAGAAGCCAAACTTGCACTTAAGAAACGATCTAGGCTTGAAATTAAAGCTGTGCCCAATTCGTGGACGGCGGAGGCATTAATTACACTTTTACGGGCAAAGCTAATTGATAAATCGATCCCAGCTACGCTCGTGAACGATGGACTTCAGCATGTTTTCTCTTCTACAGCAAGGAATGGAATAACTAAAAACTGGGTGCTGGAAGTGCACCCAACCCTACGGTTCCATCTATTAGACATGGCATGCTATAATGGAGGATGGTGGTCAATGACCTTTGAAGATAACCTCGACGCCCCCGTTGTACAAAGTGTCAGGACAACGGGCACTCTAACGCCACAAGTCCATCAGATGCACTGGTCTGCATCTGGTGTGCAGGTACTGGTCATTTTCTCAAGGAGTGCCCCAAAAAACTAGCTCAGGCAGGGCCGACATGCAACTGTGTTAGGGCAAAGGCCCATCCCAGGCACACTAAGCATAAGGCGGGCAGTCGTGATTGCCCTGTGCATTTAAATTGGTAAAAAAAAAATGGCGATGAGGACATCTTATGAGTAAGATCTCCATCCTTCAGCTCAATATGGGCCGCCGGCGTCTAGTTGCGGAAGAGCTACGCGCCCTCTCACAAAGCTACGACATCATGGCAGTCCAGGAACCGAGTTGCTGGGGAAACAAGGTCACGGGGTTTGGTCTCACATCGAGGGTTATAGCCTTGAGCAGTGGAAAGAGGAGGCCCAGGGCTGCTATTGTGGTTAACAACCCCAGCCTCGATGTGATGGATCTGAGGCAGTTTACCATGGCGGATTGTGTTGCTTGTCATATCAGATGGAACCATGTTGCCTTTACGCTGGTCTCATCATATTTACCGGACGGGAGCGATATTGACGAAGACATATCCGCCATGGAGATGATCACGGCTTGCACCAGGAACGTGATTATATGCTCAGATACCAACTCCTGGAACACGGTCTGGGGATCTAATCGAACTAATAGAAGGGGCGCTAAGCTCGGTGAATTTATTGCCCGAAACCATCTAGTGGTTATGAACAATCCCTCTGCTACCCCGACATTCTCTAGCGCTAGGGGGCAGAGCTGGATTGATGTTACATTGGTATCACCGGTGCCTATGTTGCCACGGCCTATGTTGATGTTCTGGCAGTTGTAGTGGCCTCAAACAGCAGAGCCAGGTTAAAAGAAGAAGCTGAACGATGTGCCAACCTCGTAGGAGGATGGTGCGAGAGAAAAAAGATGAAGATGGCGGCTGCTAAGACCCAGTCCATTCTTTTAAGAGGTAAGACTGACAGGGCCCACCCTATTACTGTCAGAATAGAAGGAGAAAGGATACGTCCAAGTGAGGCTGTTACATACCTTGGCATAAGAATTGGGAGAAATTTCAACATTGCGCCTCACTTGGATTACATGAAAAGTAGGGTGGCCCTGGCTCTCAATGGACTTTTGGGGTCTCAGGTACCCAGCCACGTTGACTATTTATAAAGGAGTTATTCTGGGCATCCTGAGATATGCGTCCCCTGCGTGGAGTCATCATCTCTCGCACCAACAGAAGAAAAGGTTGGCAACAATCCAGCGGATGGCTCTGCTGCGGGTCACTAGAGCGTACCGTTCAGTGTCTCATGAGGCGGTACAAGTCTTAGCCGGAACTACTCCTATTGATCTTCTCCTACGAGAAGAATACTTTCGGCATAAGATGAAGAGGGAAGGCCTGGTGGATCTACCGGCGAATCTTCGTGTGAGGATCAGTGAAGACCCTAATGGATGGAAGAGGATTCTTCGGGAGAACACATTAAAGGAATGGAACCAGCGGTGGATGACGACGCCAAAAGGGGCTACGCTAAGAAAATGCTTCCCACCGTTGGTTCAAGAATGGAACAGACATGGGTTCTCCCGGACTACTGGGTCTCACAGTTCCTCACAGGGCATGGGGGTTTCCGAGCAAAGCTCGTTGAATATGGCAAGAACATCGATCCCCTATGCCCAAGTTGCAGAGTGCCGGAGACCGCCGAGCATATCATCCTAGTTGTTAAGTTGTTAAGGGAGACGGGGCTCTACGCTCTGACGGAGAGCGATCTCCCACAACTTATGACAAAGGAAAAATACCCGTATTACAAGGCATTCGTATACGGGTGGAAGGAAATGGTTGGGTCAAACCACTTTTCATTGGGAAGAAGAAATGAACCTGTATACGGAAGACCGCCAGAGAGGGTGGAACAGGATGCTGGATAAAAAGAAAAAAAAGTGCAGGCTGTGTGCACAGCTGTAAAAAATGTAATTGGTCTAAATGCAGATGTGAATTGTAACGCATGCGTTGCTACTCACTACTGCATAACACCCGTATTGCCTTATCGGCAGGGTAGGGTGTAAATAAAATAAAATAAGATGGACAGGTAAATTGAGAATCGAATAAAAGAGTCCCATCCCGAATTAAGTACACGGGGATAGGGCCATCAGTCCTTCGCCTGGTCGGTATGAGTTGTCTCCAGTATGCTGACGGGTCCGTGGGGAGGAGGGAATCTCGGGCAGCGTGGCTTTCCCTAGTGGACGTTCACCCGAATCGGGCGGTCACCCATCCAATTGCAAGCGTCTTAGCCCGTATTTATATATATATATATATATATATATATATATATATATATATATATATATATATATATATATATATATATATATATATATATATATATATATTATTGAGTGTGCCCAAGAAATGGTGGACTCCAGCGCCCGAGAGGAGGAAAGCCAGCTAGAGGTGGAGGAACCAGGATGGAACCGGATAGTCTATAAGAGACCTAGAAGTACACCGACGACCTGGAAAAGGAGAGAGTCAGCATACGGCGAAGAGAGAAGCACATGGGAGCGGAACGAAGACCAGGGCAAAATAGAGCGAGGGCTAACCAACGGAAAGAAGATAGGAAATATCACGGCTGTGGGAAGATCGGACACTTGGTGGCACAGTGTCGCACGAAATGTTTTGAGTGCGGGACAGAGGGACACATTGCGAGGCAGTGTCCGTATATATATTCAAGAAGAGACTCACAACGAGCAGAGCCGATGGAGGTGAATGCTCAAGGTTTGAGGAGAAGAAGGGTGCAGTCCAGAAGAAGTGAGTCATCAACAGAGGCTTCAGAAGAATCCGCAACCACCGAGACCGAGGAAGAACCAGATAACCCAGCAAGCCGGGAAAACGAGAGGAGCGGAGAAGGGCGGAAAGGCAGCGGAAGAAGTGGACGGCGGCCAGCAGTGGAGCGGATCTGAGGATAGTGTCAGGCGAGGGGTGACCGCACGCTAGTAAATTATAGCATCCGAGGTAAAAGCTGCTGGTTACCCATAATAGAGGCGAGAGGAGTGCGGTGCCTGATAGACACCGGGAGTTCCAATACCATTATGACGCGTGGAGTTTTGGAAAAGCTGTATGGGGGAGAGAGGACACTCCAAATCAAGGTATGTAATTGTAAGTTAATCACCCTGGGTGGCCCGTGTGGAGTAGAGGGGGAAGTGGAGATAGGATTGAGGGGGTGGGCAGCCAAGGAAGGTAAACTTACGGTACATGTGGTGGTAGAAATGCCCCGGGAGTATCAGGTAATCATAGGGTGTGACATGTTGGGAAAGGTGAGAGTGCGAATCGCGAATAGGAGAAAGGAGTGGAGAATACGAATAGGAAATGTCAACTATACGAGCAGGGCAGCAATAAAGAATGACGATAGGGCGCGTATAGGAGCTATAAGTCGAGCCGAGGATTGGAGAGTGACAGTGAGAAGGGAGTTCGAAGACATTTTCTTTAAGGAGGGGGATACATTGGGGGTGACGGGTAAAACGGTGCATGAGATCCCGTTAAAGCACGAAAAGGTGAGCTACGTAAAAGAGAGGAGATATCCGCAGGCTCTGCGCCAACACATTAGGGAAGAGTTGCAAAGCTTAAAGCAACAAGGTATAATTTTTGATAGCACGTCGCCATACAACAGTCTGTGATGGGTAGTAAAGAAGAAAAGCGCGCCCGGAGACGATAAGGAGAAATATCGCGTAGTAATTGATTACCGCAAACTTAATGAGAATACAGTGGATGAAAAGTATCCGATCCCGAAGTTTGAGGACATTTTAGATAGGCTGAGCGGGGCAAAGGTATTTAGTACTCTCGACTTGAAAGCGGGATACCACCAAATTAGAATGCTCCCGAAAGACCAGTCGAAGACAGCATTCACGTTCGAAAGGGGGCACTATGAATTTACGAGAATGCCGTTTGGTCTCAAGAATGCCCCTATAACGTTCCAGCGGCTGATGGACGAATTTCTAAGGGGAATTGACGAAGGGATGTGCCAAGTGTACATGGACGACCTGTTGGTATTTAGTAAAACCGAGACGGACCACGTGGAGCATCTGCGGAGGGTATTCCTGAGAGTGCGACATTTTGGATTGAAATTGTCTAACGAGAAGTGTTTGTTAGGGCAAAACCACATAATGTTTTTAGGGCACACCATCTCGAGTGAGAGGGTCAATCCGGACGTGCGAAAAGTGGAGGCGATAAGGAAAATTGCAATACCTCGGGACGTGAAAGGGATCCGCAGATTGTTGGGTACTCTTAATTATTACCGAACTCTGAACAATTTATTGAAGAAAGGCAGAAAGGTGGTCGTAACCCTCATAATGGAAGAAAACATTCTGAAATGCATGGCGCGGCTGCAACAGGAACCGGTATTGGCGTTTCCGGATTTTTCAAAAACATTCACCATCACAACGGATGCTAGCGAGTACGTGTTAGGGGCCGTGCTGTCCCAGGAAGGAAATAGGGGCGATCGACCCATAGCGTACGCCAGCAGGAGGCTTACGGACACTGAAACCAGGTATAGCGCGCTAGAAAGAAAACTATTGGGAATAGTGTGGACCATAGATCATTTCAGACCCTATGTGTTTGGAAGGAGATTCCGCGTGCACACCGACCACAGACCTTTACAATGGGCAGGAAAATTTAAAGAATCTTCGGTTAGAATCGAACGGTGGAATGAGTTTTTGAACCAATACAATATGGATATTGTATACAAGCCAGGAAGAGAGAACGAGGTGGCGGACTGGCTATCAACGGCGATTACAATAAACGCCATAGAGGAAGACACAGGAGAGCCATCGACGGACGTGCGACAGTTCTTGAGGGAATGGACGCCGGAAGGGGAAGGAGGACAGACTGTAGGGGAAGATGAGGATGGAGATGAGTCCCAAGAAGAAGGGAGCCCAGTGGAAGAGAAGTCGGCTGACATGGAGGAGTTAGAGGAGATTATAAATGACAAAAACCGTCAGATAATTTGGAAAACCAACACAAAACGGGTCTAATGAGAGTGCAGTACGGCAAATACGGGAACAGCAGAATTACAACCATTTGGTCACAGCCAGGAGCGAGGGAAGACCAGATCTATAGAGCTCTGAAGGACGCCTCCAAACCTGGAAAAACTCACCACTTATACGTGGGGAACGGGACTATCTGGGAGAAAATCAAAAGGATATGGTGGTCTGAAAGAATCGGGCTAGACAGAACCTTCGTTCGTTGCAAGTTGAAGGTGGACACAGTGCGGGACGAAGAACAACAGAAGGAGATAACACTCGCTTACCACCAGGGGAAGACCAACCACCGCGGGGCGCAGGAGACTTTTCAAGCGTTACGTCGGAAATATTTTTGGTGGGGGATGAAGAAAATGATCGCAGAGCTCATAGAGACCTGCGAGGTGTGCGCGAGCACGAAGTACGATAGGCACCCCCAAGAACGATGCAAGAGGAGACACCCACAGTCGATGCACCACTAAGCGACTTGCAAGTGGATACGTTCACGTGGAGAGGTTATAAGTGGGTCACGCTCATAGACCTCTTTAGCAAAGCAGCAATGGCGTACCTGGTACAGGAGCGATCAGCAGAGGCAGTCTTAGGAGCCCTCCAGACGTGGTTCCAATGTTACGGAGTACCCGACCGTATAACATCCGACGGGGGCAAAGAGTTCGACAATGCCAAGATCAGAGCTGAAATGAAGAACGTAGGTGTCAAGTGGCATCTTAATACTCCAGGGCACCCCAAGAGCCGAGGGAGTATAGAGAGAATGCACAGTACTCTCAGTGACCATCTAAGGGTGTATCAGATGGAAAAAGGGTTAGAACCGGATATGGCAATGCGGAAGGCGGTGGCAGCGTACAACCATTCCATACACACGACAACAGGGTTCTCCCCATTTGAAATTCTCTTCGGGTTACGGGGGCGGCAACGGGACTGTGAGGGTACAGCAGCAGATGAGCAAATGAAGGGAAGAATGATTAGTAATAAAATGGAATTGGGCAATCTCTGGGGGAAGGTGAAGGAAAAAATAGAGGGGAAAAGCGCAAAAGAGTGGCGCGGGAAAATCTCAAAGTAAAGGAGGAGCCCCCTAACAGGGGGTTGAAATCGGGTCCATTGTGTATCGCAGATTAAGCTCGAATAGGGGAAAGGAAGTGCGGAGATATGAGGGTCCATTCAGGGTGATAATCATTAGGGAGCATAACGTGGTGACGATTGAGAGCGTCAAAGAACCAAAAAAAATAAGGATGGTTCACATGGAACAATTAAAATTCCCAATTTCAGAGCCAGAGCAACCTTAGAATTGGAGTGCCCTCTTCTCCAGAAAGAAGATTTTTTTTGTTTTTGTATGTTATGTATGGAGGTTATCTTTTATTTTCATTTTGTTTGTTTTTGTATACAGTGTTCATACATCACTTTGTGTATGTATCTAACGGAAAGTGCAAGTGCAAGTGCAGTGCAATACGTCTTTCATTTGTGAGAAAAATGTAAAGAGGAAAGGTGTCTTATTTTTGTTATTTTTTTAATTTTTATATAAGGAATATTTTTGTTTGTGTTTCATTGGATTAGGTCGTAAGTACTAAACACTCCGTACCTTTGTTACAGTGTAGGCAAGAAGACCTTGTCTCTTTTATATATATGTGTTTTATTTTTTTTTATTTTATGTCTTTTTATTTGTTGTACTAAGTTTACGAAGAGTATCCATAAACTGGTGGGGGGGAGTTAAGGTACGGAGCGGGATAGTATTAGCGTTAATACCAAAAGTATTGATGTAAACAATCTCAGAATGTATATATAGTGGATTTTATAAGGAACAATAAACCAGTCTTGATTTCGACTTCATGCGTTTTATTCCTTGAGCCTTTTACTTTTTTTTAAGTGTTTTAAGTCCGCTACGTTTAACTTATATATATATATATATATATATATATATATATATAATACTATACAATATAATAACGTATATATAGATAAAAAAACTTTGTACCTAAGTCATCATAAAACAATCACTCATTCTATAATCCATATAGTACCTATGTACTATGTGTGTGTTTGTGTACATCCTATATGTACATCTAATGTGAAATCCTCCTTTAGAATGTTCCTGATACAGGATGGATTCTAAAGGTGCATTTAATCAGGAGCCTGTTCGGTCCCTTTGATTGGATAGGATGGGATGCAAATGATGATGTTGGCACGGCAGCTAATAGCGGCCACGTTGCCTCCTTAACACTAGCCTACCAGCTCTGGACACAAGCATTACTAACCGTAATACGTTTATGCTTAGGAAATAAAAAAATCAGTTCCATAGATATTTGAATAATTGTACATTTAACATTTTTTCTATCTGGAATAATCATTTGTAATATTTAAAGTATTTGGGACCTGTAATATTATTTTATTAGAACATGAATACCATTTGGATAGTGCAGTGGTACCTATATTGTAACAAATGGTCTCATTCCAAAGACAAAGATTGCCCTCCTGACTAATTGTTCCACTTCCTTCTAAATAGAAATATGAGAAGATGCGTAAGAAGATTATTTTTGCGTCCTATGGATATCAAACAAAAAAATCCCAGTATAAAGTGTCTTGTAATGTTAACTATGATCGCCTCTTATAACACATATTAATATACATGGCTTTTGGTGCAATTATGAAAATGTTATAGCTGCGAAGTACGTACCTAAGCCGAAATACGCTCCATTATTTAAAATCATAACTTGCATAAAAACTGAATCAACGTCATCGCCGTATTCAGTTGCGTCTTGATCTTCATATAACTTCAGAGACCACTTCCCTTTATCCAGATAATTCTGAATAAGTAACTTTTGGATGACGTAAGCCTCCCCTTCGATTAAGAAGCAACTGGTGTCTGTTGCTGAAATGGAAAATTTTCTATAATTAACAAATAATGTTCTGGTCAATGTAGTATACATTAGTTTTAAATATTAGACATTATTTCTTTTTTTTTTTCAGTATAAAAGTTGTCGAATTGAAAAAGAAATATATCAAAAAAACATGTTTTTTTAGTATAGGGGTATGAGTTAGCTTGAAAAAAAAAAACCCAATAGATTTGTTTCTCCACAAGAAAATCTAGAATGAATTCCTTTGTGCATGAGTACAATACCCAAAACAATCTCTATTAATTATATTGCTATCACTTTCAGGAAATGAACAGAAATCCTCTTGACCTACTAAGTGTTGCAACCCATCTATCAATCAGATAAGATAAAAAAAAAAATCATCATACAGACTCTTGCAAATACAAATATTTTTACCAATATTCCAAAATAGTTTTAGAAAATTTATTATTAGATCCTGTTTATAAAGATTTAGTTAATGTAAACAGACAAAGTTTTATTTTTTTATGTTTGTCAGATAAAATAAAATTTACTTACCATTGACTAATTTATTGACACGGTAGTTCACAATCCTTCCCACTTTACAAAGTCCTCTCATTGCATCCTTATCCAAATAATAGAATAAATCGAATGTTTCCAAATAAGAGAACACTTCATACCAATGTTCAAGTACCGGTTCGAGAGTTTGGAGCATGAACTTTTTGTCAAATTTAATGCAAAGCAAATCCTCTGTTGAAATTTAAATATAATTGAATTATAACGTGGAGATAAAAATTCTGAATTAAATTTACATGATATTTATATAATATACCATGTAATATATATATATATATATATATATATATATATATATATATATATATATATATATATATAAGATAAAGACCGGAGACTGGCGATATCAGCCTTAATACCATCTGGCAATGTAAACAAACATGCCAAATGTATATAAGGAGAATTACTGATTGAATAAAGCAGTGTTTATTCAGAAGCCGTGTGTGTTGCATCTCTATCCCTTTCCTTCTTTTTTTTTATTTTTCAAGTCTGACGACGCTTAACTGGTGCCGAAACCCGGGAAAACGTCAGGGAAGTAATTTTTTTTTCTAAGTATATTTTTTTTTTGTTGGTGTTTAGCCATAAGGAAAAGGAGAGATGCCGACCGAGGGCTTAATTAGACCGGGAGTATTAAGCGCACCGGAAATTCCTCAACCTCAGGAAATTCCTCAGATCAACCAGGTACCCCAGATCACGCCTCAGGTACCTCAGATACCTCAAATCCCTCAGGTAGCACAGATCCCTCAGATCCAGGAGATTCCTCCCTTACCAAGGGACACGTTGGCAGAAGCGCACGCCAACGCCTTGGAATGGATGAAAATAAGAGCAACAACTACGCAGGACTTACGGAGGGCCATTGCGGACCTGGAACGCTTCGGAGGCGAGGTAGGTGAGCTCAACCATTTTTTGAAAGGCGGAGATCGCCTCATGTCAAGAATCGAGGTAAAGGTGGCGGAGGACCTGGTGAACCTAGGGGACGCAGAAGCACTAAAAGCAGCTCTTGTGTGCCGAGTAAGGAGGAACGTCCTGAACCAGATTCAAGCGGACGAGGAGACTCCATGGCCGGTGATTAAGGAGCGATTGAAGAAAGCTTTTGGAGGAGGTAGATGGACGCCGGAAGAGGACATCTTCCAAATGTTTAGGGAGCGGCGGTCCCAACGACAGACGAGGGGACAGTACGCGGGGGTACTCGTGGCAAAGTACAACCGCATAACCGAGAAGATGCGGGAAACGATGAGCGTGGGAGAGGTTGAAGCCAGGATGGAGTTCCTTTCGACAATACTGAAAGTCCAGCTGGCTAAGGAAACGGGGAGGAGGGACGGACTGCCCAGAGAGCGATCGTTCCTCGAATGTGCCCAGGAGATGATCGACCTAAGCGCAAGAGAGGAAGAGACGCGGATGGACGTGGAGGAACCGGGATGGATCCGAGTGACGGATAGACGACCACGGACAGCCCCGACAGGTTGGAGGAAGAGGGACACAAGGCAGCAGAGTGGAGAAAAGGCCATGATGGGGGAAAGAAGATCCGGACAGTCGTCGAGGCCGAGGAATGGTCCCCGGAGGGAAGAGAGAAAATGTCACGGGTGTGGGAAGCCGGGACATTTAGTAGCGCAGTGTCCGCGCACTAAATGCTTTGAGTGCGGGACCGAAGGGCACATAGCAAGACAGTGCCCATACATATTTCGCAGGAGGGAGAGACCTCAGGACGAACCAATGGAGGTGAATGTGCAGAAAATGAAAAGGCGAGCTAGGGTACAGCAGAGGGACGGATCTTCGGAGGAGGCAACCGAGGAGTCAGGAACTTCAGGAACGGAGACGGATGAACCAGGCAGCAGCGGAGGTGAAGGAGGTAGGCGCAGCCAACGGAGCGAGCAGCGACGAGCGGCGGCAGTAAGGAGGAAGCGGGGCGACATCTGAGGAGTGTGTCAGCAGAGAGGCGACCGCACAGCAACATGCAACAGTGTCAAATGTAAGCCATGCTGGTTGCCAATTATTGAACTAGACGGGGGAGTAAAGTGTCTTGTGGACACGGGTAGCTCGAGCACTATCATGACCCGAAGGGCGTTAGGGAAAGTGTGCGGGGGCGAGAGGGTACTCCGGATACAGAAATGCGACTGCCAGCTGATCACTCTGGGTGGTCTCTGTAGCGTAGAGGGGGAGGCGATAATTGGGCTTGATCGGTGGACAGGGAAAGAGGGTGAGCTAAGGGTGCATGTGGTGGAGAACATGACACGGGAATACCAGGTCATAGTAGGGTGCGATCTGTTAGGGCAGGTAGGGGCGAGCATCAGAAACCATAGGGGAGCCTGGAGTATTAGGCTGGGAAAGAGGAAGTTTGAATGTGTAGGGGTCGCGAGAGAAAGAAGGGTACGGATAGGAGCGGTGAACAGGGTAGAGGACTGGAGGAAGTCGCTACAAACGGAGTTCAAAGATATTTTCTTCAGGGAAGGCGAGGTATTGGGGGTAACGGGGAGGACGGTGCATGAAATCCCACTGAAGCAAGATAGGGTAACCTACGTGAAGGAAAGGAGATACCCGCAGGCGCTGAGGCAGCATATTCGGGAGGAATTAGACAGCCTAAAGGAGCAAGGGATCATCGTCGATAGTACCTCACCATTTAATAGTCCCCTGTGGGCGGTGAAAAAGAAGGCAGTGCCGGGGGATAACAAGGAAAGATATAGGGTAGTAATAGACTATCGGAAATTGAATGACAATACTCTGGATGAGAAGTACCCGATCCCCAGATTCGAAGATATACTCGATAGGTTAAGTGGGGCAGTAGTATTTAGCACATTGGACCTCAAAGCGGGATATCACCAAATACGGATGCACCCAGAAGATCAACACAAAACGGCGTTTACGTTTGAAAGGGGGCATTATGAGTTCACCAGAATGCCGTTTGGTCTGAAGAACGCGCCCATAACGTTTCAACGTCTGATGGACGAGTTTTTGAGGGGTATCGATGACGCGGTATGCCAAGTGTACATGGACGACCTGCTGATCTTCAGTAAAACGGAAGCCGAACACGTGGGGCATCTGAGATCAGTTTTCGAAAGGCTGCGGCAATTCGGGCTGAAATTGTCGAGCGAGAAGTCCCTGCTGGGGCAAACGCGAATTAATTTTTTAGGCCACACTATCTCTAGCGAGGGGGTCAGACCGGATGCAGCAAAGGTGGAGGCAATCACACGGATGGCGGTACCACGGGACGTAAAAGGGATCCGGAGGCTTCTCGGGACGCTTAACTATTACCGGAGATTCGTGCCTGAGATGGCAGAGTATTTGGTACCTATCAACAATTTGCTGAAGAAAGGCGCGAAGATTGCGGTGACACCGGAAATTGAGAATAATATCCGGAAATGCATGAGTAGGTTGCAGGCAGAGCCTGTATTGGCGTTCCCGGATTTTGAAAAGCAATTCAACATAACCACCGACGCGAGCGAATATGCGTTAGGGGCCGTTTTGTCTCAGGGAAGTAGTGAGGGGGAACGTCCGATAGCATACGCGAGCCGTCGGCTTACGGGTGCGGAATCAAGGTACAGCGCTTTGGAGAGGGAGCTACTCGCGATAGTGTGGGCTATCGACCATTTCAGGCCATACGTATTCGGGAGAAAGTTTCGAGTCCATACCGACCACAAACCCCTTCAGTGGGTAGGAAAACTCAAGGAAACCTCAGCTAGGGTCACGAGATGGAAGGAGGTCCTTAGCCAATACAACATAGAGGTGGTGTATAAGCCGGGAAAGGAAAACGTGGTGGCAGACTGGCTCTCTAGGGCCATCATGATCAACGCGGTTGAAGAGGACAGGGGAGGACCATCGCGGGACGTGCGTCAATTCTTGAGTGAATGGACTCCCGATGGCGAAGGGGCAAATGATACCGCAGGTGTAGAGGACAGGGGAGAGTCCCCAGAAGAGGAGAGCTCAGCGGAGGAAAGGGCAGCGGAGATGGAAGAAATAGATGAGATCGTGAACGACAAACACCGTCAGGTGATCTGGAAGACACGAACAGCCGGAATCATGAAAATCGATTTCAGAAGGTATGGGAGGAGTAGGATCCGCGTCATTTGGTCGCAACCCGGGGTAAGCGAAGAACAAATCTGTACGGCACTGAGGGACGCCTCGGAAGCGGGTAAAACGCACTATCTATACGTGGGAAACAATACGGTATGGGATAAGATAAAGCGAATGTGGAGGTCCGAGCGAATAGGTGTGGACAGGACATTCATCCGGTGCAAGTATGCGGTAGAGACGATACAAGACGAAGAGCAGCAGCAAGCAATCACATTGGCATATCACCAGGGGAAAACCAATCACCGAGGCGTGAACGAGACGCTGCAGGCATTACGTCGAAAGTATTTCTGGTGGGGCATGAAGAGATCCATCCAGGAAATCATTGGGAAATGTGAGATATGCATGCGCACAAAATACGATCGACACCCCCCAGAGGAGTTCAGGAGAAGACACCTACAGGGAATATGCCGCTACAGGACCTCCAGATTGATACATTCACCTGGAAAGGGTTCAAGTGGGTCACGGTAATCGACATATTCAGCAAAGTGGCGATGGCACATCAAGTGATGGATAAGTCAGCCAATGCAGTTGCGGAAGCCCTACAAACCTGGGTGCAGTTCTATGGGGTCCCCGAGAGGATTACATCGGACGGTGGTAGGGAGTTCGACAATGCCGCGATTAGGGAGGAGGTGAAGCGATTGGAGATTGCGTGGCATTATAACACCCCGGACATCCTAAAGGTAGAGGCGGTATCGAACGGTTGCACAGCACACTAAGCGACCACATCCGTGTATATCAGGGGGAAAAAGGGTTGGAGCCGGATGTGGCAATGAGAAAGGCGGTAACAGCCTATAACCACTCGTTCCACTCCGTAACGGGATTTTCACCCATAGAAGTTCTATTCGGGATGCGCAGGCCAAGGCGGGATTATGGGGAAACTACGATTACCGAACCATTAGTGGAGCAAATTCAGAGCAATAGGGTAGAGGTAGAGAAAACATGGGGAAAGATAACGGCGAGAATTAAGCGGGAAAAGAAGAAGCGGGTGGAGAGGCAGAATGTGCAGGTACGCGACCAAATGGGGGAACTAAAGATCGGAACAATAGTTTACCGGAGATTGGGAACCAACAGAGGGAAACAATTGCTACGGTACGAGGGTCCATTCAGAGTGGTTGCTATTAGGGAACATAATCTGCTAACTATCGAAAGCGTTAATGAGCCCAGAATGAGGAGAACCGTTCACATCGAACAATTAAAGCTCCCAATGATAGAACCGGATCATAGACCAACGGATTCGTAGTACCCTCACCGCTGTATATAAAAGGAAAAAAATATGTTTTTTTTTGGCTGTCAAAACATAAAAATTGTGTAATTTTTTTTTTTATTATTTCATGTAAATAGAATTATAGCAATACTGTAGAGGAAATTGTATTTTTTTTTTTGTTTTGTGTGTAGGTTATTAAGAGTTCTGTCTTAATCAAGTGTTGTGTTTAGTTTCTGTGTTTTTTTTTTTTTTTTTTTCCTTTCCAGCTGAGTGGAAGTGAGTTTTATATCTTTTAAGGGTATATTGTAAGAACAATTGTAAAGTGTTAAGGCTGGTCATCGTTGGCTCCGATCTAGGATTATTTAAGTTTCCGAAAAGCCTGTTCGTAAACTGGTGGGGGGGGAGATAAAGACCGGAGACTGGCGATATCAGCCTTAATACCATCTGGCAATGTAAACAAACATGCCAAATGTATATAAGGAGAATTACTGATTGAATAAAGCAGTGTTTATTCAGAAGCCGTGTGTGTTGCATCTCTATCCCTTTCCTTCTTTTTTTTTATTTTTCAAGTCTGACGACGCTTAACTTATATATATATATATATATATATATATATATATATATAAGTACTTATATATATAATAAATATATTTTATTATTTTATTATTATATATATAAAATATATATATATATTTTATATATATAATAAAATAAATAGAAATGATGCGAGTTGGCGAATTTAGGGTCTCCAAATACATGATTGAAAACTATTCAGAAAACTAACTGGTTGATTCTATCACTAAATAATCGGAGGTTCGACCTACCTAATATATACATATATTGTTGAACAAATGAATGAATTATAAAAGCTACGGGTTAATAAATATTGTTTTTTTTTTCTGATACATATATCTATATTCACCCAGAGCTTTCAAAATTTATTAATTTGTCCAACATTTGATACGGAATTATATATTAAGCATTTTCGTCATGAATAAACAGATTTTCAAACATAAAAATTAGATTTTTTTTTAAGTTGTGATATAGGCATAGAAAAAATGTATGCTGCTGAAATTTCTTCCAAACTTCATAAGACCATATATATTTAAAAATACCGGGCGATTCTCTATAATATGATACAATTATATTAATTTGTTATTAAGTTTAAAGAGATTTATTAAAATTTAAATGCAATTTTGTAGAATTAAGTGTACAAGTTTTATATATAAAAATATAAATCTTTTCTTTGGGTGCCGTAATACAACCACATGTTGCTGAAAAGAGGATTTTTTTTTCAAATGATAAAATAATGTTGGAGGCTTTTGAGATTAATTAATTTTATTAACATATTTTTTTGGCTGAAATTTACAACTGTATAAATATAGCAATAGCCAATTAATACTAACATAGAAATATAAAATGCTTGAACATAGAAAAATTACCCGTTGGTAGCACTACATAAATTTTCAATTTAATGAAATTAAATTAAACTCACAAGTTTACATACAAGTAAACACCTACCTTTCTTATAAAAGTTCTTTCAAAAAATGTATTTTAATAATTAATCATAAACTTGATGAATAATCTACTCACGTCTGATAAAGGCTGTACGTTTCCTAGGCTCACCAAATAGTAATTCCTTTCGACCAATCATATGTCCACGGCTATATATATGGTTATTAGCATTCTTTATCTTCTCAAAATCCGATGCATTAAAGATAAGTTTTTGAAACTCCATAACTGGATCCTTAATTTCCTCAGGAACAACTTCGATAACACCACTCAGTATGAAGTAGGATGAGAGGGAGGTCTGGTTCTGAAGGTACAATATTCTTCCCGCTTCGTATCCTTGTAGGTACGCATGCCTCACCAGGTCTTCCATTAAAGACTGGAAAGCATGTAGTATAAGATAAAATTGCTAAGTTGTATATATTTAATATATATACTAACATGAGCTTAAATTACTTTAGAATTTCTTCAGAAGTCTTCAGTCCAGAATTTATTATTTCATTTTACAATTACATTAGGCTACTCTAGGTCAAGAAAATATACAAGTTAAATAATTCGAATTCGAAAACACATCAAACACCAAATCAATTCACATTAGAATTTTCAACGTTCTAACTCAAGGTGCTGTAAAGGTGATTGTGAAGCGAGCGCCTAGACGAGGATACAAGTTGGAATGCTGTCATGTTCACCGAAAAGTAGCGTTTCTTTATTTAAATCTATCGTAGGTGCTAAAGATTCTACACAAAAAAGATGGGTACACTGAGTGCACAGTTCTTCCTTCAATGCAGTGTAGAGATGCAATCTACTTAGGAGGACGGATCCTACTCTATATTGCGAAAACTAGTCTCATTGCAGTTCGTTACGTTCAGTAAATTATAGAGAAGTACATTCCTCAAACCAAGCCCATAATTGGAACAGCTTTGCATTTTATTGACCCGATACGCGACCTCATAGCGGAAAAGTTGTCCATCGATGTTTTGAAAATCTGGATATTTCACATCTACCCCTTCCCGTATTGTCTTTCAGTCTCAATAACATTGGAAACATGTGGGTCCCACTGCATAAAAGTCTTTTTGACCGGCATTTGTACCTTCTCAACCTTCAGCAGCTGAGAGCAGTATTAGATAGATAGATAGATAGAAAAAAAAACTTTATTCTGGGAATAAGTCCCTTTAAAATAACAATATTGTACAAAAGAATAGAATATTACTGGCCTAAAAGTTTGAAACAATAAATAAAATTGATAAAATAAAATAAAAAGTAAAGAAAACCTCAGGTGCACAAGCTATATACAATACAGATAAAACTATGTACAGAGCATTTAAAACTATGAACAAAACAATTAAAACTATGAACGAATCACTTGAACTATAAACAAAACTATATATAAGGGTTGAACAACATAAACATACACTTTGAGAAATGAAGAACGAAAAAGAGATAGAATGAGTTCATTTCATAAAAAAAAACTTTACTTGAATATATATATATATATAAAATAAACAGTTAATTATAATTGAATAAAAAAAAAATGTATGTATTGAAATTCCTACGTCGATAGTAGGAAATGCATGTACTATCTCTTACCAAGTATTATGATTATATGATTGCTACACAATACATATATAGTATTAATAGTTAGCTGGTATCTGACTGTTTTTGGAACAGGAATTGGAATAGGAGGTTTTTGAATGTGTATAGGGAAGGGGCATGTCGAATTTTGATCGGGAGGGAATTCCAAAAGTTGACAGAGCGGGCTATAAAGGAGTTTTGGAATGAGTCAGATCTATGAGAAGGGATGTATAGGTCAGAGGGTCGAGATCTTGTAGTGAGGGAATGGATTGAGGACTTAAATTGGAGAAGGTTGTAGGCATAAGAAGGACGATGATCGGTAATGATTTGATAAAGCAAAAATTGTCTTCTTAAAGAGGGAAAGAGCCACCCTAACTCAGTGTAGTGGTGGGAGACACGCGAGCGTCTCGGGGTCCCAATTACAAATCTTACGAATCTATTCATAAGTATTTTGAGTCTACCACGGAGTTCCACCGAGAGGCCATCATACACCACACAACTGTAGTCAAAGTGGGGAAAGATGAGAGAGGAAACTAGGAGTCTACGGGTATTTTGGGGTAGAAGATGGCGGAAGTGATGGAATAGTTTGAGGGTAGAAATTGCACGGCGGGAGATATGATGATTTGAGGGTTTGATCTATGAGAAAGCCTAAATTTTTAATAAAGGTGTAGAAGGTGACGGGGTGGTTGTTTAGATAGAGTGAAGAAAAGTTGGTGTGGGATCTAAGAAGGGGCTTGGAACCAATGAAAATGACCTGGGTTTTAGCAGCATTTAGCCTTAATCCATTTAAGTTGGCCTAGGCATTGATTCGATCTAAATCTTCTTGAATTTTGGCAAATTCCACCAATAACTCAGCGGGAGAAAAGGATAAATAGATTTGAGAATCGTCGGCATACAGGTTGTGGGAACAATGGATGATTGAATCATTTAGGTCATTAATATAAGAGCTGAAAAGAAGAGGAGACATGCTTGAATCCTGTGTAACTCCAGAAGATAAAGGAAGGTAGGCAGATAGAGGTTGATTAGGTACGGAAACTGCTTGGGTTCGTTGTGAGAGGAAAGACTGGAACCAAGAGATAGAACTATTGAAGAAGGATAATGATTTTAGGTTATTGAAAAGGATGGAATGGATGATGGAACCGAAAGCTTTGTTATATTACCATGTTTATAGTGTATAATTAGTGACAACATTATAAAAGGTCCAAATTTAAATGTTCAAAGGTGTAGAGTGGTAATTTTAACAGACGATATTACACAAATTATTAAATTTTACAAATTGTTTACAATTCTTAATCATAAAAAACATATCACAAAAACCTTCAATTTTATTACTCTTTTAAAACACCATTGATACAATTTCTCAAGGTAAAATACCTCGTATTTATATAATTTTTTTCCATTTATTTATTGATAAAAATTCTAGGTAGAATAAATCAAGCATAACTAGCAATATCCCTATTTATCTTGATGAGTATGTATTATATGACGACGAAACTCCCCCAAATTGTGATTTAAAATGAATCCCATCTCCCTCTGATGATCCTCAATAATGTTCAAAAGTACGTTATTTTCGAGTAAAATACAAAGTAATTAAATATTAAAAATAAAATAAAATTCTAAGATTGTTAAGGAGTTAAAGCTCGATTTAATACATCTTAAAATATAATCCTTTTTTATCGATTTGCTTGGCAAAGAGAACGGCAAAAACATCTAACAAACTTGCAATTTACCTAAAAAAAAAAATGTAATAGTAAACCAAAATTTATCCACTGACAATGACTTATTTTTTTTAATGTTATTCATTTTATCATTATTTGTATTGACTATATTTCGTACTTATTATAGAAAATGTACATTTTTATCAAAATTATTTAGGAAATCTTTCTGTTTTTTCTATTTTGATTTTCACGAAAGGTTTACAATTAACATTATTTCCCTTAATAAAGTTTATATTTATATATCCATTTGGAGAATATTATTATCCTAATACCCAATATTCGACAAAAAGATAAAAGAGAGCTTTCACAAAAGAACGAAAAAAAAAGATGACATCGTCCATCACAGCACTCCGCTCCAATTAATGACCCGTTATCGTTCCCAGAAAAAATCATCTCAATCCTACAACAAGAAACGATGTTTTTCTATACAAAATGAATATTGTTATTAAAACCGTGTTTTTAATAACCTATATTATAATCGAAGCAGCGGTACATACTAATATCGAAAAAAATGTGTAGGATTAAAAAAAACCTTCACTAGAATCTGAACTTCTAACATACACGAAGGATGCTCAATATTCAATTATCTATTTGTCGTTTATTATTAATTCATCTTGAATTCATTCATTCTGATTCATAGTCTTATTAACTCAAAGAATAATTTTGATTTATTCAGGACTAGCTGATGTACCCGTCGTTAACACGTGTATAGTTAAAATTTGAGTACCTTTTTTTGGGAAGAATTTTGTATAATGGGGGGAGGATCCAAATTTAATTTCACAAAATTGATTGGTGAGAGGTTGTTTTGAATTTTTTATGGCGGCGCTAATGGAACTCAAGGTTTCGCAATAGTCATAATAAAAACTTTGTTATTCGGCTATTTGTTTAGATGCCACACAACTAATCCGATCACCACCAATCCATTAATTTTTTTTAAGTGTTTAATTTTCATTTATGATGAAGCGAGCACATCGTGGAGTCTATTGAAATAATTAAAAAGATTTGTAGTCCCTCCACTTCTTTAAACTCTACTGAGTTTATCGCTCGCAAAATAACATTGGACATTGAGTCACTTAGAACCGTGAAAAATTAGAACTTGATCTGAATATTGAGGCGAACGGGGTGAAGTTTTTGGGAGTTTTGTTCCACCCGATTTACGGCTTATCCGTTGGGTCAATCCTAAAAATGTATAAGACAACATTTGTTAGGCTCGTAAAGTTAAATCGAATGAGCTCTTGAACGGGAAGATCGGACAAAGTTGAAAAATTAGTTTGTTTTACCCGTGTTTTAAGAAACAACGCGTTACAGATGTTCGGTATTTCGGATTTTTCCCGTTGAGTTGTGATATTTTTTTTCCATCAGTTGAATAATACAAATTTTAAATGTGGCTCGCGGTGGAATAGATTGGGATCAGAATCGAAGTAAGTAACTGTCTAACCAGGATCTCTAGACAAATTACTCAAAACTTCATAGCTTCAATATTTTGTTTTCATTTAAAACCCATATTTTAAGTCAAGAAAACCTAAATATAATGTCAAAAGTCTGCCATCAGCCAGTACTGAGCTTACCCCTAACAAAATATCGTTGGACAATGCGGACATACAGAAAGACAAAAAAAAATTTTAAAAGTGGATTTTGGTAATGCCGGCGACGAGGCTCTCTTACTCACTTGAGAGAGAAGCGCTGGGATCTCTTAGAGTCTCGCTTTGTCCTTCACATGTGGGGAAAAGGGCTGGACTCGGAGATCTCTTACCTAATTGTAAATATTGTATTTAAGTATGAATGTTTTTATATTTATTTCTATTACTTATAATTTATTTAATTTCTTTACTTATTTCTGTATTTCATTTAATTTTAACTAAGTTACATTTCCTTGGTTTATTGTAGTTTTTGCCTTTGTTATATAGATTTTTATATTTTTTATTTATTATTTTTTTTTTTTAATTATTTTTTTTTTATTTATTTTTTTTTGTATGTCTTGTATATATGGTATGAATGTGCCTCACTCAGCCTTAGTACTCAGTGCCCTTAAGTGTGGCAAAATGTATTATTACTCAATAAAAAAAAAATAAATAAATAAAAGTGGATTTGGTGTCTGTAATGTATGAAATGGAAAGATATTATGAAACGGGTTTCTTCTTTTCAATGTACAGACAAAACCTTTATTTTATTTATATAGATATTATAAATGTATTTTAAATCTATTAATACTTTGTGCTAACTAGAAATATTATAAAAGTAATTAATAAATTAATTGATTGTGACGACAAAGTTACTTGCCAGATGTCATATATCCATAAAAGTTTTATCAGCACTTTATACATGGTAGGCCAGTTGAATAAGAATTCGAAATGGTATCCAAGTAAGGGTAAAAAAAGGAGATAAAAATTGCCCAGTTTCTTATCTACCGAATACCGTGATCTCTTTGGCACTGATACGGCAATGAATATCACACTTCATTTTCATTTTTAACCAAAAATATTGTAAAGGTAGGTTTGTGAAATTAAAAGTGCTTCTGCATTTGTTTAACGGGTTCGCCGTCAGCTCATGTTGCTGTTAAAGTAAGACCATGCTCCGTTGTTTGAGAAGAATCTAGTAAAAAGTAATGATCGTGATGCCCAACTATACTCCTTTAATACATTTTACAGCACTACATAATTCATTAATTACTTTTAATATATATATATATATATATATATATATATATATATATATATATATATATATATATATATATATATATATACAGGGTGTCCCATAGGTAGAGAGAAATATTTATAGGAGTGATAGCAGACCTCAAGACCTACAAAAAAAGTTCATATCAACAATGTGCTAGCTTTCAACAGAAGAGTAGAAAATCCAAGATTTGTGTTTTTAAGAGACACATGTTTTTTGTTGAATAGGAAGGGATAACTACAAAAATATTTGATTTCAGTTAACTGTAAATTAGATAAAATTTACTTTAATTGCAACGAGAGTTTGTTATTATTAAAACCCTTTAAAGAGGACATTTGAGCGGCTAAACTAAGCTAATCTGTTCTTGAAAAAATCATAAATTATTTGCGATTTATTCTTATCATCATCCAACCATTCAACAGGTCTCCCAGTTTTAGAAAAAATACCTTGTTTAATAAGGTTTAAGTTCATATTAATTAAACTGAGGTTTATTAGCAAAAGCTTGAGATTCACCTCAAGTTGTGTAAAGAAATGATCAGATTTTCTATCCAGTCTCCTAAAAGTACCAGTGTTTTCAGCAAAAACGACTACAATTAACTGTTTTAAAGCTTTAACTCTTGTTTATCAATGATCTGGGATGTATTCTAATAAAACAAAAATAACCTAAACACATGTTTAATTTATAAAAATAAAAATATAAAAATGACTTTTTTAAGAGATATTTCGGATATTTTTTTGTATAATGGTTATGTAATTATGTTTTTCTCCCAGACTTCTGTCACAGGAATTTATCCGTATTTATAAGGGACAAAAATAATTTTTCTTGCACTAAAATAGACGTTTAAAATAAAGAAACCTATTGATTGCTTTAATTATTTTCATTAAAACGTAAATAATAGGCCTAGAAACATTAAAGTTGTCAAAAAGGGACCAACTCCTATGAAATAGATAAGGACACAATTTCATAGCCACCTTACATGAAAAATATTTTAAAACCGTTATTTTGGATTTTATTATTTTTAAAATTAAAATAAATATTTAGTTAATTATTTGTATTACATAACATACAAGATCATAGAAAAACAAGAATTAAAGCTTTGAAAAAGTTAATTTTTGTCGTTTTTGCTGAAAACACGGGTACTTTTAGAAGACTGGATAGAAAATTAGATCATTTCTTTACACAACTTGAAGTGAATCTCGAGTTTCTGCCTAATAAACCTTAGTTTAATTAATATAAACTTAAACCTTATTAAATAAGGTAGTTTTTCTAAAAGTGTGGTAACTTTAGTATAGTTGGATGATTATAAAAAAAAATAGCGAATAATTTATGATTTTTTAAAAACAGATTTAGCTTCGTTTAGCCGCACAAATTTTCTCTTTAAATGATTTTAATAATAACAAATTCTCCTTGTAATTAAAACAAACTTACCTATTTTACAGTGAAATAATTTTTATTTACTTAAATTAAATATTTCATTAGTTATCGCTTCCTATTCGACAAAAAACATGTCTCTTTAAAGAACACAAATCTTGGATTTCTTACTTTCCTGCTGAAAATTACCTCATTGTATACCTGAACTTTTTTTTTAGGTCTTGAGGTCTCCTATCAAAATTTACCTATACTTACGGAACACACATATATATGTAAATGTATATATATATATATATATATATATATATATATATATATATATATATATATATATATATATATATATATATATATATATATACGCTCATTTCTAAATCTCATTCCTCACATACACTCATTTATATTGTTTTTTTGTCTGTTGTCATTATAGATCTTATAGATTTGTTTTCAATCTTATCAGCCATTTACATCTCAACCTATCTCGGACTATTTCTTTTCATTATCTGCATGCGGCTCTACGGCATCTTCGTTGATTCGATAGATCCATCAAGTTTTTTTCCTTCCACGTTGTCCCACAATTGAGGCATGCATTGTTGTGAAGAGGTTTCCTGATGGATTACTCCGAGCTACGTTCCCCGCTCATCTCAATATTCTTATTTTCACATGATGACATGTTAATTGGTCAGTTTCTGTAAGTAGTTATTGGCACTTCTCCAACATGCGTTAGTACTCCCCCTCCCCCCCCCCCCAGATCCCAGATCGCTCCGTTTATCATTCTGAGAATTTTTCTCTCATATCTTTCAATTCTTCTTTCTAGGGTGCTATTTAATGTCCAGACCTCCCATATGTATATTAAAACTAGCATAATCATAGCATTATGCCTCCTTAATTTGAGATTTTTCGATATTTCAATGCCTTCAAAAGAAAAAGGAAAGCTCTGGTCGCGCTTATTCTGTGCTAGTCTATTTCTGACCAATAGTCACTCATTGAGGTTTTTGTGGATCCAAGGTATGTGAATTTGACAACTTTCGGGAACAAATTTCCTTGTACACAAATTCTTTTATTTGGGTGGAAATTTCTCCTTATAATCATACATTTTGTTTATTACATTTACTTGTAAATCGATTATATCAGTTTGTTTTATCAGGATCTTTCAATTCTCTTAATCCAAGAAGACATCTGTATCATCTGTACATCCATAGATTTTATGATTCATTTGGAAGTCTATCTCACGATATTGCACGTGCCATAATTTAGTTTGAACTTATTATAATTTAAATATAAACACGTATAAATAAATAAATTATGATTTAAGTTTGCCTGTAGGATTCAAGGTAATCAATACATGAGAAACTCCATGCGTAAGGTTTTTCATTTCTAATTAAATTAATTTTATTCAGACAAATAACCGAACGAAATTCTTTTGCACTGAATAACAAATTTCAATGCTCTATTACTCTGCATTTGTATTTTAGGAGCAGGATATTTAATATAGTACGTTGCTCTTCGAATGGTCATTAAAATGAATTGCTCCCGGAAAAAATATATTAAGATTGTAGGAGTTTGAACCATTGACTTTAGTTGAAATTATGATTTTATATTTGAAATCTTACTTAAATATAACCTTAAATTATCAACTCACCATTGGATATCTGACGAATGGCAATACGAACTTTAACTTCTCTGCAATTGCCGCAACCTCCTCATTCGTCCTGTAAGATTTATGTAACAGCAGCGTCATTTTATCCTTGAACAAGTAAAATAATAATTAAACTAATTTTTAATTACTGGCAGATAAATTATACAATAACAACAGATATAATTCAAAGGCTGCATATCTATTAGTAGTAAGAGCGCATGAATTTGCTGCAGTATGTAGAAAAGTGTAAATTACGCATAAAAAATCTGGTATTGCGTACGTATCACACAACTATCTTTTACTATCCAACTGAAATAATTAAAAATCTGTCCAAATTTAGTTAGTTCTACGGCATTTAGCTAAAGAAAATCTGTCAACAATCCAAGTCTATTTAGTAAGCTCTGGTTAAAATTAAATGATCTTTCCATTAACTATAAATATATTTTCACTAAATTATTTTTTACTTTCACATATCTACATATGTAATATATAATAAGAGAAAGTATTGCGATCTTGAATATTTTAGAATTTGAGTTTTCCACGAAAATACACATTTTGAGGTCCCCTTAGTCTAAATAACCGAATCCCGGTTATTTGGAATGGTTATTTAGAAAAATGATCTGTGATGTTAAAGTAGCAAATTTTTTTGTTAAAATCGACTAACCGGAAGTGGCACTTTATATCAACGGATATACATATTTTTACAATTTTCTCAAAAACGGCTCCAACTATTTTCTTTCAACTCGGTGTATCATTGTATAATTGGGTGGTCTTTAATAATATTGAGGTTTTATCCCCATTGATGTCACATAACAGGACTTAAATGTTTAATTTTCAATACGTCTTCTTCTAAAGTATCTTTAATTTGGTTTATTTTAAATAATTAACACTATTTTATTAACAGTATGTATAAAGAAGGGCTAAATAAGAATTTTGAAAGAATATGATAATTGAAAACTGAAAAAAAAAAAAAAAGGAAATGCTAATCCTGGTTGGAAATGAGTCTCCGGAAATAACAGTCAGAAGGTATACATATAATATATCGTTGGAAAGCGAAGAATTTTAGAAAAAATAATATCAAATAAATTAAGTTATCGAAAGTAATGGAGAGCGACTGCAAAAGATAAATAATAACTTGTGAAAACTAATATTATCTAACAGAAAAACAAATGTTTTCAAGGAAATTAAATGAAATTTCTTAAATAAATCTAAACTTTTAAAGGCAATGGCATTGTTCGAAAAACTATTTCATACTACTTATGTGAAAGAAGAAGTGAAATATAAAAATATTTAATGGATGTATAAAGCATATGTTTATAACCTTAACCACATTCACCGTAGTTTAATAATTCCATATAATATTCTGATATTATATTTAATAATTTATTAATAATAATAATATTATATTTAAATATTATCTTACAATATTATATTTATATAATAATATGACGGTTTTATTTCGATAATCGTCATGTAACCGTAGAAAATTAAATTAGGGAATAATTTGATGAATTTTCCCTTTGTTAAATCCAAACATTCCCACTTAAAATTAGCGTGACAACTTTTAACCCATGGAAGGCAATGAAAATCTCGTAAATTCATTTTAGTAAACTTTTCAATGGAAAATAAAAGTTTAATAATTAATAGGCGTATAATCCATAATCATTTATAGGTTGAATATAGAGATATAATTTCAAATCTCTCTAGACAAAAACAGATGGAGTACCGAGGTTTTTATTGTCTACCGTTGAAAAAATTAATAGAGTTTTTATTATTTTAGTGGTCTTAATGATTAAAAGTGCACCTCAAATATTTTATAATTGATTAACATTGCCAGAAAATAATTTCTATTGAAAGTAAAGAGGTAACTGAAAGTTGTGTGTTGCACGCACCAGATTTTTCTTTTACATTTTATCCAAACAAAAATTATTACAAATTATAATCATTATCTTAAACGAGGAACGTACGGGCTCCGAAAGAATATGTGCGGATTTTATGGATAGTTCTGGTACAAAATGACAATTAATTAGATGAATTACGACAATATCTAAACTATACCTTTTTCAAGTCAAATTTAACCTTTTCCATTTCAAATCTAATTTTTGAAATTCAAACTCAACCTTTTCCATTTCAAATTCAACTTTCAATTTTTTATAAATTGTGATTTTATTCGAAATAAAGCCACTTACTATATTATCGAAGGCATAGCTTTTGAAAATGCAAAAAAAAAGTGGTAACGCGGTCTCATATCCATTTTTTTTTTTTTTTTTTTTTGTCTTCCCTACCTCGCCTTTTAGGCTATGCGGGATTTTCCCGGGGGGTGAGGGCGGAGAATTTAAAATCCCCTCCGGCCCCGGACGCTAACGCGTACTTTTTAAATCTTCTCAAATCTGTAATCCGGTTGCCAGGCAACTCGCGGTGCTGTACACACGCTTTAGCCCATTCGGCTCTCATCGCATATCCATTTATTTTTACTTTTCAGATGTTTCTATTTCACAAATTCAATTTTTCCAAGTCAAATTCAACCTTTTTCAAGTCAAATTCAACCTTTTTCAAGTCAAATTCAACCTTTTCCATTTCATATAAACATTTTTCAATTCAAAATCAACCTTTTCTATAGAAAATTAAAGTTTCGAATTTTTGTAATTTTTTTCGAAGTAAGGGTCATTTTGTTTTAATTTTCCAATATGAGAGTCTATTATGCTTCCCTAAGTAGAGTTTTTTAAAATACTATCGATGTTATATTACACTTACGAATATCGATTTACTTTACCTAATTGGATTATTCGATATAAGGATTATGTTAGTTGTAGGATATTATAAATTTGATATTTCAGGTGTTTTAGGGGAGTGTAAATTAGTTCATGTTTTCTGCTGCAATTTAATTATCTAAATCATATTGTTTTAAAAAGAACATATGTTTTTCATTAGTTATGATGTAAATAAGTTTTTGAATGATTTAATAAATGAATTAAAACATTTATTTTGAAATATATTTTAAAAATATAATGTTAGTTATCGTATGCCTAAGTTTTTGGAAATAATCTCCATTTAAAGATTACGCCACTATGTTTTGGTTTATTTCGGTTTTATGGATTTCTTCGATATAAAGGTCTCTTTATATGTTTCCGGAGCCGTAGATTTTGAAAATTACTTCCATTTTAAGATTACGCAATCGCATTACGTCTTATTTTAGTTTATCGGATTTATTTGGTATAAGTGTCTATTGATATGTTTTCAGAGCCGTAGATTTTGAAAATGACCTTTATTTTAAGATTACGAAACTGCGCTGCTGAATCGTCGATCGATCGATAATCTATCGATTCGATTTCCTCACCATCGACTGTTGGACATCGAGAAGGTAACCAGGTTGGAAGCAGCTTGGTTCGTTTTTTCGTTTTCTTCTCTCACCGTTACCAGAGAGATTTAGTTAAATATTTTTTTTGGCTAAATTTATTTTTATTCACTAATTTTATTTTTATTGGATAAATTAATCTTTATTATTGGAAGTTGGTTTTTATTTGTTTTATTTTGATGGATTTTTTTATTATTTTTCATTGAGTATTTTCTTTATGTTTTAAATCTTCTATGTATATATATTTCATCTTTTTTTATTTCAATTCAATAAATATTGTGAACATTTAGAAAGGGATTTTCTTTATTTACTTATCTTAACATCTTTAATTAATGGAGTAATCTTATTTAATATTATTTTGTTGTGCATGAAATTTTCTCTTTTATAGGTCTCATTTTTATTCACTATTTTTTTTTCCCCCTTCCTTCCCTTCATTTTTTAATTTTACTCGAATTTTCCCAACCTTTGAGGAAACTCACCGGGGAAAAATTTGTACTTCAGTTTTGAAGTAACCCTAGCCCCAACATCTTTTGGTACAGTCCGGGCCGGATATACTAGCGCTATTATTTTGGTCCTCGCATTTTTTTATTCCTCAATTTTTTTATTTTCGAGTAAAATATTTTTCGTTTTGTGAAAGCGTATTTTTATTTATCTCTCGTTTTTCGTAAACTCGTTGAATCTCTCCGTTCACGTTTAATTTTTTTTCTCTCTCTCGTTAATATTTGTTTGTGTAACATTCGTTTTGTCGTTCGTTATTTGCAATTTTTATTCTTCACCATGCCTCCAAAAGTCAGAAACGAGGAACAGGAAGCGAAGTTGGCTGATCTGAAGATCAATTAGATGATTTAGCCACAGATATTAGGCAAAAGATGTTGGGGCCAGGGGTACTTCAAAATCGAATTACAAATCTTTCCCTAGCTATTGAGCCATTCGCCACAATTATGTTTCACTTCTGTCAACTTGGTTTCACGCTTTGCTTTTTCATTATTTCTCCTAATCTTTTAGTTGTGACTTTTCGCTTTTTGTACCCAGCCTTCAAAGGTAATCTCTTTCAATCTAGTTATTTACACTTCTTCTACGCGTCTGGCAGAATGGGCTGCATGATCAGCTTTATCAGTCCCCACAATTCCGCAGTACACGAATATTTAATTATTGATTTTTATGTAATTTATTTTTGCTATTACTCTAAGTATAAATTGAATGTAGTTTGTAATTAGAATTATTTTGGTTAATAGTAAACGAAATTAGATTATTCTTGTTTATGTTTATGGACATTGGAGTTTTGATTATGATTTACGTATCCTCTATTGATATTATTGCAGCCTATAAATCATGTTAAAAACTTACCTTATAAAATTGTAAACATTATTAAAACAATGCTTAAAAATATTATTACATCTGTAAGTTTAGTGCGCCTTATTAGTTTCGGTTTCTTTAGATTTCTTTTCATCACATTTACATATAAACTAGAAATCTTACCTTCGCGTCTAAAAGATTTGCGTCCAAATCTATAATCGATTCCTTATTGATTTCCTCTTCTTGGTTACATTTAATATATTCGTCAATTACTTCTATGAGCCACCGTTTGTTTTGATTCATCTTCCTGAAGATGCATTCTATTTTTACCTTAGGGGAAATTGACTTGAGCCGACTCTGAAAATATAAATATCAATCTCAACGTTGCTAAAGATTCAACAGATGTCAGAAAAGAAAATCGGACTAACAATCTTATTTAAATATCAAGAAACTTGTAAAACATTTTTATACACAAAGTTACATGTTGTAACCACATATGCCTTGTTTAGTTAATTGTTGAGGGATCATAGAGAGTTCTGTGACCTACTGTTTATTGAGAGACGAAGCAGTGTAAATTTTATTGTGACATAGTTTATAGATGTGTAGACTGTAAGTTTGTGAAATCTCTCTTATATAGTAGCAATAACAATATAATATTTGTTGAACATAATAATAGAGTTAAGTGGCTTACTTCCCGACGGCGATTCCTTCATGGTGTTTTTTTTTTAACTCTTGTCCTTGAGACAGATTGTAATATTTTTCAATAAATAACTTTTAAAAAAACGAAAAAAAAAAAAACAAGTTCTCAGAACCAAAACCTCTCTCTTACATCTTAGAACTCCTTACTTTGCGTTCCTCTATCCACTCTCACAACTCCAGGTTTCTACCTATAGATTTATATATCGCCTCCGACTAATGGATCCAAGATTTAATTTTGGAAGGTATTCAGTCCGAAAGCTTTTATATATATATATATATATATATGCTTTCGGTTGGCACTACAGACCATAAAGATCTTCGCGAGACGTGGTGTCCCTATAGACGTATATTGCTTGCCGGAGCACAGATAGCCTGGAGGGGGTCACCAAACCTCCCGTTGCTAAGAACCATGGTCTCCATGGTGCAGCGGAAGGCTACCCGTAGCTACAGACTCACTTGGGTTCAAGGACAGTGACAGATAGGTCTGAATCCATGGATTATGGCTGCTCAGAGTTAGGCCCACGAGGACCTACACACACACACACACACACATATATATATATATATATATATATATGTATAACTATTATAACTTTGGAAGAAGAGCAAAGAAACTAACTACCTACATGAAATGGTGTTTAATTGATTCTTAAAGCGCTATTAAATAAATTTTTTTTTTTATTTACATTCCACCCTACCTTGCCTGATGGGCCATACGGGCGTTTGCAATAGTGGGCTGTTATGCATGACTGCATAACAGCATACTAATGCAAGTGAAACAGTTTAAAATATATCTTCGGTGACGTCTTATCAAGGGTGTCCGTCTTCCGGCGGTCTTCTTGGTGGTGGTCCTCTTCTCCGTGCTCCGATGTTGAAGTGGGCTGGACCCACTGCCTCCTTCCAGTCATAAATAAATTTCTTGAACCGAGGGAAGTTCTCCTTACTTACCAACTGAGGAAGTTCATCCTCTGTTAGGACGTAAATTCCTGCCGTTCTCATCATCGTTGCCCTTATTCCTTCAAATGCAGTGCAGGCCGTGACCACGTGCTCGACAGTCTCCAGAACTCCACATAAATGTAACCACACGATCAATAATACTTTAGAGTTAATTACTTCATAAGAAATGAATATTTACCATTTTGGGGAGGGCTCCTAGGTAGCCCTAGGGTATATACCTATACCTATGTATGTATACTAATACATATAGTGAGATTTGTGTGTATGTTATGTGTGTGTGTGTGTGTTAGGGTATTTGTAGTATACAGGTGTGCATGTGTTCTGTTCTGGTAGTTGCGCATGGTCTGGTGAGCTGTTGTGATCCGTTGGAACACTACCGAAAAAAGAAATTCATGTGACAGTTAACCCTTGCGGGATGGTTGATTGGATCCTAACTGGATGGGCGATGGTGCCGCCAACTCGCTACGCTTACTTATACGACAATCCTCGTCTACAAATTCCTTCAAACAACTCCTATTCCACAACCTGATCCATATCCAACACTTCCGCAAACATGTAAAATTTACTTAATTCTGTACACTGTATAATTCAACCAATTGAACAATTTCAATTGCAATTAACAGTTAACTAAGGATCATTTTGTGTACTCTAAGCAGGACTATTTTTCATAATTATGGAAATCAATTAATATTCTTTGGTAATTGTAGTCCCATAATAAAATTATTTTTTCATTCAATATTGAAGTGGGTGAACAAAGTTCGGGATCCAATATATATTTTTTTAAATTTATTTATTGAAAAATAAACCAATCTGCCACGTCCAAAGGCAATAAGTATCAATAGTGAAGGTATTCATTCATACAATATTATTAGCTGGCCGGTTTAATTTAGAATATGATACATTTCTATTTGTTCATTTTTCTATGTGTAAGAATGTAGCATCTTTTCTTCCTCGTCATTCTCACAGTTGCCTCCTTGGACCTCTCTCGGTGTTTAGTGATTTTCTGATGAGGCATAATAATAAGAAAAAGACTTCAAATTCAGCTGAACCTTCATGATTATGATTTAAGTAAAATTAGGAGATGCACTTCCACTTCATAGATGGCAGTACCCTAAAAATCGTTTTAAGCAAATTATATTTATTATGTCCCTTGATTCTCTTATTTCCATGGATTCTCGGTTTAACAACTCTGAAAAATGTTCTTCTTGACCTCCCGGATGTTCTTCTTGGGTAATTAAAAAAGTGCCACTCTTTCTCTTCATGTGGCAGATCCTGAATGACTTCAGCCTTTCTTCGGGGGGATTCTTGTGATGTCGAGAACAGGCTTACTGCATTGATACTGGAAGAGAGAGGACTATTTGTATTTCTAATTGCAGACCTCAACTGATCAATCCAAAGAAAATGCCCTCAAGCGACACATTTAAAAAAGAAAAACTTCAAAACGTTAAAATGTTTTAGGAGATCATTTCGAGAAAATTGGGAAGAGGAGACCAGACCAGAATGACTCAAAAATATAACCGAAATTGGCCTTCTTGAACCCCCAGGATAGCAGTATTTGACCGGATAATGTTTGTGAATGTCCTGATGCAGATGAAGATTTTAACAATGTTGTAGTGTTGTAATCGAGTGATTTTATATATTTATGATTCATAAAAAAATATTTAAATACAAATGTCGTATTTAACATTTTATTTACAAGGTTTAATATATATATATATATATATATATAATATATATATATATATATATATATATATATATATATATATATATACACATATATATACACACACACATATATATATATATATATATATATATATATAGGTATATATTACTTAATTACATAATGCTGATTTTAGAGTTCATGGGTGAGTTAGTAATAAAACGAAGTTAGGAGCCATTTCTACCTTTTTAAAAAAAAATGGACAACTTCACTCACGTTCGCTTCTAAAACGGTCATATGCATTTTCAAAAATGAATTTGTCTAACTTTTTAAATCATATTGGCATCACATCCTTCACATAATTAATAAATAACGTTTAAGTTGAATTATGAAAAAAAAAATAACAGGATTCGCTTTGAAGCCTTAGAAGGAATATTAGATTTTTCTCAAAATTTAAAATATGGCAGATTCCCGCCTTTGATATAACGCCATTCAGATATACACTAAGAACTTACCTTGGAGCGCAGTTCTGTTGCTATACTGCTGGATATTCTACTCATTATAAAAAAAGAAATTCGACAACTGTGGCCTGTAGTCAACGAATATGCGTATTAAAATCTCTTTAATTTCTACATAGTCCTCTTATTTGCATTAAGACACAAACTCATAATGTTGCTAATCTCATCATTATCCTCCTAAACATTAAAAACACACATGATTTTTTTATTATAAATATATTCATTATTAATAATATAGTCATTATTGAAAACATATGAATATATCATAAATGAGACACGTTTTTTATTATTATATTTATAAATAATAGTTTCTCAATCGCACATCAATTTAGGTAACGCATCCTAAATTATCAAAACGGGTGTCAAATAAGGCTAATTTCGGGAGTCATTTGCAACAAGTCGGACGAAATCAGTTATTAAGAAAATATTGGGTGTAATTCGTCCAGATTCATCATCATTTATTTTCCACTACAAAGTTTTTTTGTTTTTTTTTTGTTTTTTAATATTGAATAATAATACAATCAGCCACTTTTGGAGGGCTATAAGTATTAAGGCTAAATGTTCTCATTCATACAATACATATATAAAAATTAGAGAAATAACTATAAATATAAAAAAGTAAATAAATAATACTGATAAAAAAAGTAAGTAAATAAGAAAAAATAAACAAATAAAATAATGTAAAAACTTCTAAATACGTTCATACTTATATACAATATATGCATTCGCACGGGAATCTCCGAGCCAGGCTTTTTCTCCCACATGTGGAAGGCAAAGCAGGACTCCAGGAGATCTCATTGCCATTTTTCCAGCCACATCACTAGTATTAGAAGCCAGTGTAGACCGAAAGAGGGCTGTAGAGCCACAGACGCTCAGGACTTGAGTAAAGAAGCTGGCCACTGCCAGGACTCCAAAAGCATATTTACAAGAGATGCGAGGCTACTGCCGTGTTAATCTTCGAGGAGATTGGTAAGGATGCTCGGAGCTGGATAGGGATTGCGATAGAGAATTGGGATGATGAATAAGGTTTTAGTGAAAATTTGAGATTCTGGAGGGAACAATGGTAAGGAAATATGGGATGTGTAGGTCATAGTGTAGGGTCTTGTTCGTGACTTTGGACTGGAAGGATTGGATACGTTTGATATTCGACGATTTAGTTGTCACCCACAGTTCAAGTCCGTAGGTCCAGATAGGTTTTAGTATGATATTGTAGATTAATAGTTTGTTTTCTGTTGAAAGATGAGATATTCTGTTCAGTAGTCTATATAGCTCACCAAATCGTCGGTTAAGCTCTTGTGTTTTAAGTCTCGTATGTGGGTTCCAAGTTAGTCTTTTGTCTAGAAGGAAGGAAAGGTATCGAATAGAGAAAAGGAATTGAATTAAAAAGGATTGGCGGACAAGATCTGCGTCGAAGGGTGAAAGTGGCATGCTTATGTTTTGATTCATTAATATTGATGCGCCAGTTGTTGCACCAATGCGCAATCAAGAAGAGGTGTCTTTGTAGGTTTCGTTAGCTATGGGGGGCTTAACATGCTATTAGAGGATCTGAGTGAGAGGATAGGATGGCAGTATCATCAGCAAATGTTGCTAGGAAGGTATCAGGACTTAAAGGGTTGTCGGCGGTGAAGAGGATGTACATAACTGGGTTGAGGAACACCAGCCTCAATTGAATAATGTTTGGATAGTATAAATAACCCATTATGTGTCAAAGTCTAGTATGTGGGGGACAGTTAGTCATCTGTCTAAGAGAAATCCCAGATACCGGACTGTGTCTGAAAAAGGAAGCTGGGTCGAATTATAGTGGCAGGAATTGCGTCGGAGTGTGAAGATAATGTGTTGGTATTTGGAATCATTACTTTAATACGCCATTTATTACACCAGTGCTCAATCAGGGAGAGGTATCTTTGAAGGTTTAACGATGCCATATCGGGATCTTTGTCAGATGATAGAATGGCGGTGTCATCAGCAAATGTTGCCAGGAAGGTATTGGGATGGACAGGGATATCGGCGGCAAAGAGGATGTAAAGGACGGGACCCAATACGCTACCTTGAGGAACACCAGCTTCAGTTGGATAGAAATTGGAAAATCTAGTGCCACAGCGAACTCAGAAAGTACGATCAGAGAGATAGCAGTGGAGGAGAAGGTATAAAGACTGAGGCGGATGGGTTTTAAGTTTGATATGCCCGGTTTGCCATACTTGGTCAAAAGCTTTAGCTCTGTCTAGAAATGGACCTGAGCAATATTGCTTGTTTTCCAGGGCTGCGGAAATATGATCGTCCATATCGTATTTGTAGGTTTAAAGACGCTGTTTTATAGTCAGGGTCGGTTGAAAGGATAGCGGTGTCAGCAGCGAATGTTGCCATGAGGTTATTGGGATGAACAGGCATATCTCAGGTAAAAAGAATGTAAATGATGGTCCCATCATATGACATATGACAAGAGGTTGCTCTGCGGAGCTCCCGTCTAAATTGAATATCAATCGGAGAGCTCAGTACTACAGCGAACTTGGAAGTAGCGGTTAGTGTGGTGGAATGGAAGTATTAGATATAAGGCCTGTGGTAAGTGAACTTAAAGCTTGAAGAACTATCCAGCGTGCCTTACCCGGTCAAAAGCCTGCGCTATGTCCAGAAATGCACCAGAACAGTATTGCTTGTTTCCATACAGGTTGGCTTGATAAATAAAAAATACAATGTTTTAATTTTTATTTCACTGAAAAATTTCTCTCATCCATTTTATTTTTCATTATAGAAAAACCATAAAGGTATTTAATACTGCTTTGGATCGGGGGGATGGATACAAAGTCGAGTACCAAAACCTGGTACTTTAAAGGGATTAGCGAGATCAGGCGTATTCTTTAGCAATAAGATAGAGAGTTAACGTATATTTTATGATGATTTTCTGAAATCATAATTAAGTTTGCAATGTGTTTATATTTAAGTTATAATACTATATTATCGTCACCTTGTGCTACTTTCCATCATTTAAATTTGACCTTCGATATTCCTAACTTTTCATAATCCGTACAGTCCATCCAACTATATGTTTGAATTATCAAGACCACCTGGTTCTTAATAGTTCCAATTATTTATGTTCTCAAACAACGGCTCTGCAGTTTTGTTTTTAAAAACTAACTAAAGTATCATTGACCTATAATCGGAATAGAAAGTTGCAACTAATCAGGAGGGTACCATAAAGTTGTGGAAGCAGAGCAGGTGGCGGGTGCAGTATATATAAGTATATACAGCTGATCTGGGCCCTCGCCAGAGTTGGTCTGTTTATTAGCCCGGCGGGACGAACCCGCAAATACTCGTCCGCCCAATATTTCACCATTGACGGCAACACTCTCTGCCAACCTTCTTCTCCCCTGGGACTTACAAATGGCTCTGTTTTACCCTGCTGCTCGATTCGCGGTCCTTGTTTACCTTTTATATATATCCCTTCGGTTGTATTTCGCCCATTCGTTTCTGGTTTTGGTTGGTAAGCTTATTTTTCGTTGAAATATAGGAGGTAAGAATAACCTGAATTTTATATCGACATTTATGATCGTTTTGCCACAATCCACAGAAAGATTTATGTGGTAAGATAAAATTCAACTAAACTATTTTTAATTAAATTTATTTATTCTTCCACCCCTGTTGAAAAAGCATCAGGCCCAAGTCGGGAAGAATATTAGTAGTAGCATTAAATGACGTGTGGGAAAAGAGTGTTCTGCGACATCTTTTCCTATTTCGATTTCAATATGTATTTTTAAGGTAGAAGGTACTCATCCAGCAAAAGAAAAAATATATAACAATATATATTTCTTGAAAATATGAATGCAAATTTGTATGTTACTTTTCCTTCTTTTTCTGAATTGTTAAACAATTTCGTTTGGAATTTAACTATAATGCCTCTATAAATAACAAATCAACAAAGATAAGGTATTTTCTAGTTTTGACCCTTTTTCATTAATAATCTTCGCAATAAGTTTTGCTTCTAGGTCGAATTCAATAAAATAATCATTCTCAGTTTGTTAATTATTATTTAACAATTTGTACGTTTCAGAGAATGTCCTCCTAATAACATTTTAAACTTTTATTTAACATAATTATTTTATATAAATTTATTAAAATAATAATCTACTTATATAATATATACCAGTATTAAGTCAAAGCTATCAATAAGCTTGGTCAATGGTTAAAACTCAATTTAAGAGATTACAGTACATTTAGTGTTGGATGGATGGATAAAATACTATATGATAATTATGTTATTTTATATTTTGACTCCTATTATTATCATTGGATCAAAAAAAAAAATAAAAAATTTAGTATTTAACTCCCTCTCCCATAGACTTCCCACTGACTCTAGAGATTGAAAAATATTACGATATAAAAAGGTTATACTACACATCCTACGAGGAATGTGTCACAAGTACCAGACGTACGGCCACAGGAAGACTTATTGCCATCATTTGCCGCGTTGTTTAAAATGCGTTGTACAACACAAAACTGGTGAGTGCACAAAAACTAAACAAGAACCCACAGTTTGTTTTTTGTGCCAGTGTTATTTGTGAACTACCAATGCTGCCAGATATACAAGAATTTTAAATCCAGATACCAGAATTCCCGGTTCCAAGAAGAAACTTTAAGAGCCGGATCAAAAAGAAAACCTTCCAAAATCGTAGACCAGATGGTGTCTTTTGTACACCTGTTAGGAGCTAAATTGAAATTACTAATTGTGGGACCCTGTCGCAACAACAATATATACCTCAAAGTTCTTAACCCCACCCTCAACATCCTTCTACCCAAACTTCACCAAATCCTCAACAATTCTATCAACACCAAATTACTCACAACCTTTTTTTTTTTTTTTTTTTTTTTTTTTTTTTTTTTTTTTTTTTTTTTTTTTTTTTTTTGGTCCTTCCCTTCCTCGCCGTTAAGGCTATACGGGATTTTCCCGTGCCAGGGGGTGTGGGCGGGGATTTAAAAGACTCCCCCGGCACCGGGACGCGAACTCGTGACTATTTTTATATCTTTAATTCATATGTCAGGTTGCCAGGCAACGGCGGTGCAGTGCACACGCTTTAGCCCATTCGGCTACCCCGCCCACAAAATTACTCACAACCATCCTCCATCAAATATCACAGATCTCAGCAGTTTACTTACATCTTTCTTCTCCGAATTCAGATCTCTTGTTACTCCTTTGATAT